CCCCTAGAGAGGATTATCACCTCTCTCTGAGTATCCTGGCGGATTATCACCCCCTAGAGAGCATGATCACCTCTCACTCAATTCACCTGGGGAATTATCACCCCCTCTTGAGGATTGCCACCTCGTACTGAGTACCCTGGGGGATTATCACCCCTAGGGCAATCCTTACACCCCTAGGAAAAAGTGACCTAGAATTCTTTATTGGAGTGCTTCATCCCTTACCCCTTTTCCCCACAAATGTTCTGGTTGTGTTGTTTGTTTATATATAATTATAGTAAGGATTATGGGTTAGGAACATTAACTTTATTCTTTTTCGGTTTTGTTTCACGAGGACAATAACTAGACGTCTGCCCTTTTTAGCACTCATGAAGATCAAAGTCTTCTCCCTGCATGGGGGATAGACGTTAATTTGCTTTTATCAACTTAAATAGTTAAAAGTGAAACCAAACTTTTATTTACCTTATCAATAAACATCTGGAACGAAGATAATTAAATTTACTTACATGTCAGGACTATCCAGGTAAAGGTCTTTCAGTTTGCCACTCCGATGACCTTTCACAAAATTATATATCGACTGTACATTGCTAAATACGCTGCTTCTCCCAGTCCCCATTATAATATCAAGTGTGGAGTCGTCATTACTATCAGCAAATCGGATAGAAGCGCTCAATTTATCTAACATCGCATCATCGATGGGCTTAAGTGATGCATGTCGAACGCACACCGGGAAAGTTCGGCCAGGAGTGAAGAACTCACACTCAGGAAACTGGGGCGCAGCTACAATTGTTGCAAAGCCCTGGGCTCCAACGCCGATTGGATGAGTAGGTCGTTTCCCAGTGTGCATTGCAGCGGCACCGAAGAGAAATTTGATTTTCTCTGTCTCGACCCTGAGCTTAGCACCATCAAAAATACTTTTTGGTGGAACCTGAAAGAGAAGAAATGATTTGAACTAAATAAGTCGTGTATCGCCTCGTGTATCTGGAATCAGTCTGATTTAGTCTTCATGGAGCAGGCTTCCAAATGATTTGAAGGATTTAATTTCTTCTGTTCGCTGTGGCTTAATTAGAGGACTCTCGCTTTGACTGCAGAATGAATTCTCCGGTCCCTTTCATGACGCAATGCAAGCGTATTTTGACGAGCACGCGCATTGTGATCAAGCAAGCCCTATCTTGGACTTAAACTCGGAAGTGGCCTGGTGAGAGACGAAAAGCGGAGTAGGAGTGAGGCTGAGTGAAGAGTATGGGGTAGGGGTGGGGAAGGAATTTGATTTTCATTATTTAGTGCCCACTTCTTTCCCGCCACGGTAGCGAGCTATAATCCCGGATAAAAGTAGTTGGAACGGTTGAACTGGATCACTAATCCCCTATCTCCTCTAGTCTGTGTTGGAAAATGTCGCGTTTCTCTCAACAAAAAGGGAAAAAACACCGGATTAACAGCATTGTAAGTGGGGGGAAGGGAGAACTTGCTTCGTGTCCCAACTTTTTTGTCTGGGATTTTAGCTAGTACCGATAACTCGCAAGCACACTTGACTTTTACAGAATGCAACACTGTTACAGATCGAACACTTAGTCGTTAGTTTCTTTACCTTTTCTGCTTCCTTCATTTTCCTGTCAAAGTCTTCTTCTCCCTTGATCTCCTTATAAACATCGTAACCGATATTTTTCCCTGAAATGGTAGATTGTTAAAACACACACACGTACATTAAGGCTTTAACAAAACTTTCCGCGGACTGTGAAGCTCAAGAACGAAATACAGCATTAATCTTCTTTTTAGGGACTGTGCAGTAATTATCAGGAGGGAGGCTGTAAAATGAGCTTCACACGGAGAAATTTTATACAGCCCCTTCTGTCAGCAAAGGGAAGTTAAGCTCTGGTTCCGCTCCTCATCTCCCAAAAATTATGACCAGACACTCCCCCCCCCCCCCCCCCCCCCCCCCCCCCCCCCCCCCCCCCCCCCCCCCCCCCCCCCCNTTATGGTAAAAGCTCAAATATACCTAAAATCGTTATTCGCTTTGTACTGTCACACGTTGGACATGACAAAAAGATATTTAAACGTTACCCCCTTCCCCTCTGGTTTTACAGCCCCGCTCCTGAAAATTATTGGACAGTCCCTTATTGTATGAGATCAGTTAACTTGTACAGACGTTCCGACATTAAATCAATTAGTCGTATGATTTATATATGACAAAATAAAGTTTTAGCCTTTTAATACATATATATTTATTAATCTCTTCAACCATGAAATATCATTTACTAGTAATAATGATTATCGATTGTAATAGGTAATTTATTTGTAAATTACTTATTACAGAACCAGGAGAGTACCATCCCTATCTTGGAGTCGAGCTTCAGTCAGACATAAAATGGGACCACCATATAAAACATATAACAGGAGAGGCAAACTGCTCACTGGCATTCCTGAGAAGAAACCTATAAAAATGTCCACAACAGATCAAGGAACGAGCGTATACAGCCCTGGTAAGACCACTGTAGAGTAATCATCAGCTGTGTGGGATCCTCATCTAAAGAAAGATGTAAAAAGTGTGGAAGCCATCCAGAGGCGGGCAGCCAAATTCGTTACAAGGGAATACAGAAGGGAAGATAGCATTGTGACATAGTTGTTAAACGATCTTGAATGGCCATACCCCTTGAATTAAGAAGGAAATATTACCGTATAGAAGTTTGTTCATGAATCGTTACATGGCAGAAACACAATTTCCATCCCAGCTCACCTGAAGGTGCCTTCAAGTTACAACACAAGATCACAGGCAACCTATATCAACCCAGGGACACGAGGAGAGATCTACAAGAACAGCTTTTTCCTAAGAACAATGACAGAATGCAACAGTTTGCCATGCAGCATACGCCAGTTCAAACCAGAGGCCCCTTTCAGACTGTCCCTACAGGCACATTTTAACATTTAATGAATTTTTGTTTTTTGTTGTTGTTTTTCGTTTTTCCTAGTGCTGTAAGAGCACCATGCACAGCACAGTATTACTTTGCCCTGTATTAACTTGATCGCATGCACCAGCACCTACACTTTGAGGCGTGATAGACAACCTTTGCCATGTAACCATGTAGATGTAGATGTAGAAATAAAATCAGACGTGGAGAATATTAGCAATATAATACATACATTCCATTTTGCCTCCTCAGTTCCTTGCCAAATGTCGATCCTGCAAGAGTTGTTATATTTGTTGAGCGGTCACGATCTGAGAACCACAGGTAATTAGCTATGTTATGGGACCCCCTTGTATCAGTAGTTAAAGAAAATAATGAAGGTGAACACATGAAAAGAGTTTAAGGTTTGATTGATAGTTCTCTATACTAGAGACATAATCTGTCGGGGCAGACTTAGGTAAGTGTTTTTGGTGTGTCTTGCGATGCGTCCCAGTAACGGGTGGAAGACAGATAATTCGTCAAGATAAACTGTTAGCTTTCGCGCGCCGAACTGAAAGCTTAGCGTGATAGCATGTGCCGTCTTGACAACAGTATGTACAGTTCTTTTACATAAGTGAACTCTTGCAACCACTCACTCAGAATAAATTCGCGTTAAAGGACATTTAAACTATATTTTAGCGTCAAGTGTATTTAGCACTGCTGTCCTAATTGGGACACTAAATAAATTAACAACTGAACATTGCAAATAGAATATAAATAATTAAGAATCCCAACTGGCGGGAGGATGACCAGTTGTTTTACACAACGCGGTTTACCGAAAACAAATCCAGATAGCGTTAGGAAGGAGGATTTGGGTTTGAGATCACCGCATCACCGCTTTAAAAACAAAAGAACAAGCTTAAATTTTGGGGTGTCCTCAAACCTTCAATACAACCGATGACTATATGGGATTTTGCAATAATAATTGTATCACGATTCCACAAAAAAGGTCGTTCTAGTATACCAGCAGGTAGTTACGTAGGCATGCCGGGATCTGGTGAACCCTCTGATTGGTCAATTTTGACAGGTTTTGTCAACGCTCGAGCGCTATTGGGGTAGGTGAGTCATTATGGCGAAGTAGATCACGATGACGACGTCCAACTGAATTAATTTTGCTGTTTATAGTGTCAATCAATTTTAAATATTCGGTTGTCTCAAGAAGAACGGCGTTCTAGCAGGGCTTAAAATTAAAGCCGAGAATAATCCAACGAGCAAAATCTTTCCAGTGCGGAACACTTAGAGATCAACCTTCAAAGTACATCTTGCAATGGAAAGGAGCCAATATTGAACGAGCAAAAGATCGTTATGAAAAAGGTCTCGGATGCAAGGGCATCCGGGTTTTCGGCTCTTGTTTTCTTTTTTTTTTTTTCTGTTCTTGTTTCACGCGCCGAGAAACAAGAGCCGAAAGTAACTGATGCTTTTACAGGCTTGTCTATCACCTTGAAAACCACAAGTCCCCAAAAATCAGCGATCATGTTACAGGCTCTTGTAGCTGAGAAGTAGGAATTTTGTTACAAATGAATGCTTCAGGCGTTCTCTCGCCTTCTACCCTAAATTTTGGTGCGCCATTTTTTGCGCAGCGCTCCAACGCACTGAACGCCTGGAAGAAGCTGAAAGTTTGACGTTGTTCGAATTTTTTTTTAATTTTTTAAAAACAAAAAATTATCGAACAACATCGATTAAATTCAGAGTTAAGACGGTATTAAGTTAATGTCATCTAAATTTTTGTTTTCATTTTTATATCAAATATTCCAGTTTCGGTGGGATTGCTCATCACTAGATCCTCTTAAATCATGAAAATAGATTGAAGTTTTCCATGTTCGCCGGACCAATTTACTGGACCAAACACTCTCCATTTAGGATTTTATGCCAAAGTTTGATTTCCGAACAAATCGAACGATAAAGTTCGATTTCGTTCGATTTCCCGTTGGATGTGGTGCTATCATGGCTGCACGGCCCAATCTTTCCACAAGTAAAGAATCCTAGAAGGCCTAATGATCCAACAATGCCAACCAAGTTTGAACAAACAAATTCCCTGTTAAGTGGCAAAAATGTTCCCATTGGGAATTACCAAAAGGTTATAAAGTACGCAAGTAGAGGAAAGCTTTTCTGCTATTTGTCTCGAAAACGTTTGGTTTTTTTACTTTTTTAGCCATTTTTAAACATTTTTAGCCTTGCTAAGAATGAATCTACATATAATACCTTATTGGAAAAAGTCAACTGTGTTTCTCTATATAACAGACGTATATACACAGTATCTTAATTTTACTCTACAAGTATCCTATCTACATGTGGAATACGTTTACTCTCCGTACTACCTCCTATAATTTACGCGGTAACTACTTTCTGACACTCCCTCGGTACTTAAAACTACTGCTTATGGCCTTCGCTCTTTTTCTTATCATGCCATTTAACAATGGAACTCACTGCCGGACAATGTTCCTGTTGCTATTGTGAAAAATGAACATTTGACGGTTGCTATTTTGAACTTTAATGTCTGTACACTACTTCTTAGGAATATTTAATTCAGCTTCCCATTGGTAATAGCGATTTTTCTTTGCTTATTGAAACGATTGTTTTTTCGTTTGAATTTAAGTTTAAATAGCTTATTCTGTCATACTTTTACTTTCGTGTGTGTACATGCAACCCTCCGTGATTGATTAAAAGGGTTGTTTAACGTTGCGAAAATCAATAGTTCGAACTTTGAACTTTAATAACTTTAAAAAAAGTATTAGCTATAGCCTTAGCTTAATGTAAATTTAGGACATTTTGTAAATTGAATTTCTGCTTTATATAGTGTTTTAAGTATACAGATTTATTTCATTTAGCTGTTAATTGTAAATATTGTACAGAATTGTAGTTTGTATGTTTACTGTATATTATGATGATTTCTTTTGTTATTTTTCTCTCGGAAAAATTAGCTTATATAATAGCTACTCTACTACTACTATTCGAAAAAAAACGTTTATGTATGTATGTATTTATGCATGTATGCAAATATTTTGTCATAATATCAAGCGAGTTTTATGGATATAAAAATATAAAAATATATTAAATATATTTATTTACGATCAAACTCAGAAATACGGACTGCTGATTATCAAAAACTGAGATTTGTCATGCAGTAAGAAAACCAATGTTAATGTTATACAAAGTTGGGTTAATTTACATTTTTGGTTACCTTTATTTAATGCTTGTCATTTAACACATCCATGTTGCAAAAAAGAAACGTTCTTAATCGACTCTCAGCTTGATGAATGTTCTTAATACGTTCTTAAACATTGGTTGATCTCAGCCTCAACGTTCTTATATAAAAAAGGTTCTTATATATATATAAAAAAGAATTGACTGACAAGGAATGCAAACAACACATTTGGTCCGCACATTCCTTGCTGAAGTTGAAAATGACCCGGGTTACGACCTAGTTATCCAACCTTGCCACGCATGCAGGGGTTTGACTGTGTGGAATTTAAATACAATGTATTTTTATACTCAGCCTTCTATGCACTACTTCGAATGTGCTTGGTTTAGACTTTTAGAATTTGTAACAGTCCTTTCCAGTAATAATTCCCTGGTCCGTTGGTTTCGCCGCTCGCAGACTCGGGCAGAGAGATTAACGAAAGTCGACTTGTGACGGGTCTACACCGCATAACTCGCAATAATTTAATAGAAAGATTTTTCTAGCAATCAAGGCATAGAGGAACCGACTATGCTCTTTAGCGTAAGTTAAAAACCGCTTTTTGGCAAATCTAATCCAGCCGGAATGCCTACTTCAGACTAAATCATGATATAACGGCGACTTCCCTTTGTGTGGATAACTTGAGGTTTGGTCTTGTTCGTACTGTACCGCCCTTCATGTAAGGAAAATCAAACCATTATTCGGGTAGCATACCTTTTGAAGACTTGTCCTCTGTATTGATTAATTAGCACTGATTCACGATCAGGTTATTTCAAGTGGGGCTACCCTGCCTAAATAAAGATGACTTCTGACTTGACTTGAGTGGCTGGCACAGTGGATGCTAATGATTAGCCTGTGGGAAGTTTATGTTTTTTTTTTTTTCGCGAAATGCAGCAAGGATGACGCCAGATACTTTAGCCCTAAGGCGATTAAATTCAGAAACACGCAAAAAGCTTTCTTTCTTTCTCTTGTCTCTTCCCAACCCGTTCTCGTTCATAACGCCCAATTGCCGATGAATACGTGTCAGGACAGTTCAAGGCCGAAGGTGGATGTGTTTTTTTCTTCTGAAAGATCAAGCTGATCCGATTCTAGCAGACCAAAATGTATTGATATTAAATTGCCAAAATGAGTCAAAGGTCCGTGTTGTAATACTCTGCTATGTACCTGGAGGATGTAGCAAATGGTATAAAAATATCAACTTGAAATTTGGTTTGTTTCTTCAACAGATGTTATCTGTTACTAGCTACAGAAGCTTCAAATGTTATTAGCAATCTCTTAGGTGGAGGCCCGAGATAAAACTTGTGCTGGAAATTTGGTAGCTCACAGGAAGTATCTTCCTCATCTCCGAAAGAATTATTAGATCTTTCCATATTTAAGGCAAAAGAAATAAGAATTATGTTTTCAAAAAGTGGCATCGATAAATACAATTGCCGAGAAAAAGTACACATAAACAAACTGACGTCAGCGTGTAACCCATCGGCAAAGGGACCAAGCGTCTGACTAGCCAATAAGAACGTGCGCTTGTCTAAGGCTATGTTATAATCGCTAATATATCTAAAAGTATATGCATATCGATCTACTAAAGCACTCTGTTGGTAGTAGATAATGTGGTCTGCAGCTATTGGGTGAAGATTTGGTGTTGTGATAAACACTAATATGGCAAAGTACTTAGCGACAATTTGAATTGCTCATTGTTCTCAAGGGGTAGTTGGCAGTGTTTGGTTGGATGGTTGGTTGGTTGCTTGGGTTCAGTGCCAATTTTCAAAGATATCTCCGTTTTGGTTCAAAATTCTTTGAAAGGGTTGCAGACTTGCGAAAGAAAGCCAACTTTTGGAGTGTCCTCTCCTTTCTGTTTTGTAGACTCTAAAAGGTACTCTACATATCTCATTCTTGAATTGTTCTTTAAGAGTGCAATGGTATAAAGGGAATATGATTTGATCATATTCTTTTGATGGTATCTACAGCCGAAGTAAACTGAATTAATATCATGGGATGAAATGCTATCGTTCTATACTAAGTAAAATACAGTACTAAGCGGATGGAAGGTCGACTCTTGCT